GACTTGACCGCAGGTCTAGCCAACCACGGGCTTCAGGTGACAACGCAAGCGTCTGAAGCGCATGTATTTGTTTGCGACAAACCAGGTGAAGGCCTGCCATGCTTGTTACAAATGATGGCCGGCTTGCGAGGGCTGGTGGAGGCTTCTCCGGTCTTCTTCACGTCCAGAACCGGTTGTGCTTTGAAATTCCATCGCACTGCAAAGGTGCGAAAAGTTATCCTGGTCAGTCGAATTTGCGCAGAAAAAACAACACATTTTGGACTGACTTTCGAAAAGCGCTTCCTCCGGGACATGGCTGGAAGATTCACAAGATGCAAGCTTGCACAGTCCAGCAGTTGCAAACCAAGCAGAGATCATATCCTAAATACAAAGCGTTCGCAGTGATTCACGAGGATGAGAGGAATGCTGTGAGCGAGGGCGACAATAACATGCACACAACTGAGAGCTTTTTGCATCGCATTCGGCGCGCTGACGCGCTGGCGTCTTGTTCAGGGCTTTTCAAATGACTGCTCTTAAGGGGACATGGGCGGTCTCGGAAGTGGAAAAAATGCGCAGCTGAGCCGGTTTCTGGTATTTGCATGTTGGAGTATATCTAGGTCTGTTCATTCTATAATTTGTGTAAGATTTCGGCTCGGCCAGCATTCATTGACTCACACGTTTCCTGAGGCTGCTTCGGCCTTCAAACTTGCGGCTGGTTCGGCTGTGAGTGAACAATGGCGCTGCTACTTCGCACTCCTCGTGTTATTCGGGTGGGGACTGACTTCAGCGGGTTGGATACTGCCATTATAGCGCTCAAGAGGCTGGGATTGCCTTTGCAACATGCCTTTAGCAGCGACTGCGACGCTGGGTGCAAAAAGATGCTGCGCCATTTTCATTCCCCACAATTTTTGTTCAATGACGCTGCCACACGGTCACCAGAAGAAGAGGTAGCCGTGGACTGTTACGTGGCTACACCCCCCTGCCAACCTTGGTCGTCGCAGGGCAAGCGGCTGGGACTGCGAGACCCTAGAGGTCAACTTTTGAAAGTTCCTGTGCAGTATGCTAAAAGACAAAGACCACGTCTATTTGTTCTGGAAAATGTCAAGGGCCTATGCTCCAAGACAAACCGCCCAGTTCTTCGGGGCATCAAAGCTGCGTTGGAGAAACTGGACTACAAGGTGTTTGTCGGAGTTTTGAACGCTGCTGATTATCAAGTGCCTCAGCAGAGAGCACGACTGTTTGTTGTGGCAATCAGGAAGGATTCATATAGAAGACCTTTCAAGTGGCCAAAGAAAAAAGGAAAACGCTCTTTGTCAGATGTTTTGGACGCACCCGGACCTACTGATATGGCTGGTCGCCTGCCAAAAAATGCAAGAGCTAAGGCTTTGACTGTGGATGCGTTCAAAAAGGTGCATAAGCGAGGCATAGACCCACGCCGGGTTCCTGTAGCTATTGACATCGGCTGCACCAAGGCATACTCCACATTTGGGGTGGATGTCAGCCGCACATTGTGCCAATCTCGAGCTAAGACTGGTGGCTTCTGGATCAGTACTCGTGGTAGAAAAATGTCGACAAATGAGATCCTCAAGGTCTCTGGGTTCAAATCTGACGAGTTGCAAGGTTGGCAAGAGCATGTCAGCAAGGCCCAGTTGCAAGGAATGCTGGGCAACTGTGTGCCGGTTCCTTTGGTTGGCTGCGTGCTTCAGGGCGCATTGTATGCAGCTGGTTTGATTTCAAGGGCGGCGGAGTTCCCAATCTGACTGTCTGGCTGCTTCGGCCAAGTATTTGCCTTTTTCGGCCACTGTGAAGGGTTGGTCGCATGCTTGACACGGACGACTTGGCTGGGGGTGGTCAAGTTCAGATTCCGCGCTTGGGATGAAAAATAACCGCCATGGGCTGCAAAAGCTGTTTTATGTTTTTGACTGCAACCACAGCAATGCCAGGATGTTCAATTTGTAACCGCATGACTTGCGTGTGCAAGAAAAAGGCTCGTTTTTTTGGTTCAAGTTTTCTTGGCCCCGTGCTTCGTGCTTGGTCGCGCTCTTCTGGTCCATTGGTGCTCATGCCGCTGCGTTCGGAAGCAGGCGCTGACGAGGCCAACTTTTGTCATTTTGTATGTGTGATACAGCTCTTTCTCAAAGAGCGACCGGTCAATGTCTTTGGGCTGCAAAAGATGGAAGATGTTTTTGAATGCACTCGCAATGCTCTGTTCTGGTGCTATTGCCATCTGGGACCTTTCAGAGCAGATTTTGGGTGGCAAATCGAGATTGCGATCGATGTCATGACCACCTTGCGCTATGGAGACCCCAGTACTTATCCTGAATGCAGGATTGTCGGAGGGCTGCCAGATACGACTGAGGGGATCAAAGTACCATTGACTCGTTTCACGAAGTGGGACTTTTATATGGCCACCCTTTTCATCAGCTATCTGGATGCTATGACGCTGGATTACAAGAACTTCAGGTGGTCGACGTTTCGGGAGAACCTCTGGGAAGCATTCAATAAGGCCGTGCAGCACTCGGAGCTGGATGATGACTTGCGGATCGGAAACTTTGGTGGATCCTGGTGGGAATTCGAATTGAAAGAAGGAAATGTTGAGTGAAGTTTGGCTGCTTCGGCCATGGAGGAATTGGCTGTTTCGGCCATGGAGGAAAGTGGCTGCTTCGGCCACGACGACCGACTTATGAATGATTGAAAGGGAAAAAAAGGGCGCAGGAGTGCAATGCCGCTTTTAAACCTAGTTTCTGCCCACTATCTCGGGGACGTCCTTGAACTTCCTAAGATTTATAAATTATAGTCAAACCATTGTAAGGTAAGGGCGAATTGTCATCTCCTTCCAAAGCTCGGGGTCGTCCTTGAACCTTGTAAGGAGATGACGACAAGGGGGCGAAACGGGAATACCACTAAGCGCTTCTATTCTAGAAGCAGTTGTCATGTCATTGTCATCTCCTTAGGAAGCTCGGGGTCGTCCTTGAACCTCGGAAGGGGATGGCGATTTGACATCTCCTTCCAAACCAGATTTGTCAAGCGTCGTCGTCGTCGTGGTCGTCGTCGTCGTCGTCATTTGTCGCCGTAGCCATTCGGCGGCCCAAGACTTCGCCACCACCTCTGGCTGCTTCGGCCAGTGGCTGCTTCGGCCACATGGCGCTGGAAATGCGACGTTACGTCAAGAAGTATCCAGCTCGGGCAGCAGAGCAGGTTGCGATCGACGTTGGTGGGGTGCTGAGCGACAAACAGGTGGAGTACCAGGACGGACAGACTATCTACCGGGCAGCCATGCCTGGTGCATACATGTTCATCCACATGTTGAAGCACCGCACAGGCAGGTGGCCGAAGGTGGTGTCGTAAACCAGCCAGACAAGTGCCCCCACTGGGTGCACCGTTTTTGCGTGTCCCTGGGAATGCCACAAGGCCAAGTGAATTTGGTCAAGCACATGGACGACAAGAAGTATTTCACTGAAGGAATGACTTGCGTCATCGACGACCAATGGCTGGCGTTAAAAATGATGGCCTGTGGAGGCCAGGACACGTTGATTGATGCTATTTGGTTTCATGCAGACAAAAAGAAACTGCCACCAGGTCAGAGCTCTTTGGATTCATGGGTGGGCGGAAAGATGACCATCCTTGGCACTTTTGAGGAGTTGGTCCAACATCTGCGGCTGCAGTGCCCGCCCCAAGTCCAACAAATTTTTGCCGAAGGGCCTCCCAATGGTCCGCACAAGCCAGAGTTGGTGCAACGGGCTTTGGCGCTTTTGGAGCCAAAAGAGGTCGGGACCACAGTCGTCCAAGCAGGCGGCAAGGACGACGACGAAGTGACCGTGGCTGCTGCCCAGGACGAATCTGTCCACGATGTTGATTTTGATGACGACATGGCAGCTCTTCCAGCAGCTGCGGCCACTGAGGCTTTTGTGGCTGCTTCGGCCACTGAGTCTGTGGCTGCTTCGGCCACTGAGTTTGTGGCTGCTTCGGCCACAGAAAAAGAGGCGGTGCCTGACCAGCCTCAGGGTGCCGTGGCTGAGACTGCAGCTGCTGCGGCTGCGGCAGGTTCCTCCAATCCACCATCGTCCGGCTTGATCTTGACAGAAAGACCTGATCACATTGAGAAACCGCTGGATGACAATGACGAGGAGGACCGTGCAGCAGAGAAAATGAAGCAAAGGAGGGTCTTCATTGCTGCAAAAGATGATGACTACGAGTACTACTCTGAGTGCATATATTCCTCCGATGATGATGCACCCCATGCGGGCAGTGCCAAAGACATTAAAAAAAGGCAAGCAACCACTGGGTATCCCCAAAGCGCAGACAAGAAAAAAAGAGAGACGAAAAGCTCACGGGAGCCAAGCCCATCTGTGGGCAGCCCGCGTCCAACCAGAAAGCTGGGCGTTTCTTTGAGGGAGCGTCCTGCAAGTCATGCCGACGTCGTCTCCGCGGTCCACCAACTCAGGAGTGACATGCAAACAGTTGTGAGGCAAGCCGTCTGGTCTGCGTCGTCAACGCCCACGCAACACCCATGGGGCAGCAATCGCAGCACGCACTCTGGATGGGCCCAAAAGAAAGCTCAGAGAGCCATGCAGCACAGGGCGGCCGCTGGCAATCGCCCTCCCAAGGTGATCGACTTGCCCATTGCCAACGCAACCAACCTGGATGTGGATGCACTAGCCACATGTGCCGCCAGTGTTGCACGGACCCGGCATGTCCGCAGCATGGTGGCTAAGATGGCTGCTTCGGCCATGTGAGAGGGCTGTTTTTGTTTCTGCTGTGGCTGCACACAACCACGCGTGGATGGCTGTGAGCGGCCCCGCAGGATGTCGTTCAGAAGACTTAAAAAGAAAGTCTGCGCAAGTTTTTTTTCGAGGAATTGCATTTGAAGTGAATGTTGACATCCATACTTCTATAGATAATTACGGAAGATTTAAAGATGATATCGCAACGTGACATGCCCCTGTCCCCCTCTTTTTCCTAAATGTTTGTGACCTGTGAGATTTGAGCGGCTCAAGTCAACTCAAATCAACTTTTTGCCCATGCCGCCCAAAAAAAAGCAAAAAAAAGAGCACCTTGCCCTTCCGGCGGCAGATGACGCAGACGTGGACATGGATCCTGGACCTTCGAAGGAACACCTGATGAAGGTGCATGATGCTTTAGCCGTCATTTACTCACATGATATGTTCAAGGACATCCTCACAGCGGAGCCTTTGTCCGTCAAAGATGGCGGCAGAGAAGCATCACTGGATCTGCCTCAGGCTGCTTCGGCCTTGAAAAACGTGGGCGTCTACAAGTGCGCGGCAAATTTTTTCCACCAAGACTTGTTTTTGGCCACCCACAAGGTTCCCATCAACAGTGCACAGGTGCAACAAATCAAGCAGCACTGGTTTCCTTCGAACGAGCCACCGTCGTTGTGCCCCTTTACCATCACTGTTGCTCTGGAAACACCTGCTTGCATCGGCAAGCGTCCGGACAATGGATTTCAGCGCCTCAGTCCTCCAGAGCCGGTGCATGCCCTGCTGTTCGCCCTCGCCGAAGCCATTGAAACCAAAGCCAAGGTTGGAGTCTTGCGCGCCTTGAAGAATTGCATTCTCACGGCCACCTTTGTTTTTGAAATCTGTCCCATTGGTGAACAACGGTATTGGCGCGCGGCCAATATTCGTGAGGAGATGGTGGAGAAGGGGCTGTCCGTTCAGATGAGCTTGAGGCAACGCATATATGAGATCGCAGGCTTTCATGAGCAGAAGAAAAAAACTGAGGCCAACTTGGGTTCGAAAAAACTGGCTGGTCTTTACACCCAGCATCTCAAATTAGCCTCGAACCAAGAAAAAATCTCAGAGAGTTTCATCGATTCGGCTTTGACCATCCATCGACGACTTCTCAGCCTCCCCAAATGTCAAGAAGTGCTGGAGTGGTGCGACCAAAACTGGTTGTCCTCCAATGCATGGAAGTCAGTCTACGCCTTGCAGGCTTTGATTGACAGAGCAGGGACGCCTGAGTTGATTGCCTGGTCCCTGGAAGGAATGGTGGACGGTGTCCGCATGTCGTTCATTGACGCGGGTTTTTTTGTAATCAGCAAGCTGAAAGACTCAAGGCAAAGTTACATCGAGGTCCTCAAGATGAAGCGCAAGACTTTGAATCATTGCCTGAACCAGTGGTTGAATACTTTGGACCTCAGCAAGGAATGGAAAGAAAAGATCCGCAACTTTTGTGGTTCCTTCGATAATGTGCGAAAACACTTGTCGCCATACCCTGACACACAGGCTGATACGGCCTGGTTACTGGGCTGCCCGCCAAGCGTCACTGAAATTTGCGATTTCCTGGACGCCTTGGTGTATGGAAGTCAGTATGACCTGAGATACAAGGACGCAATAAAAAGCAAACACGAAGTCCAAGATTTTTTGAATTACCCGTCGCTGAAGTCCACAATGGAGAAAATCGAACAAAAAGTTCGCCAAGAGACGACGCCTGAAGCGACGCAAGAACGGCCAGCAGAAATAGTTGCTGCTGAAACAGAACCACAGCCTCAGGAAACTGAGGCTGCTTCGGCCTCTGAGGCTGCTGCGGCCTCTGAATCAACGGCCCCGTCATCCACTGCACTTTCTGAGGCAGATAAAGCTTTGTGGCTTCAACACATGCGCAAGGTCCTTGCCCAGCATGTCCGCTTTGTAAGCGATCATCGCACAAATGTGGACCTGGAAAAAGCCTTGAAAGAAACTCCTTTCATGTCGCTACGCGGGGATCCAACTGGCCTGGCCATGTTTTTGTTTGATCTGAAAAAATATGGCGAACCCACCACGCGGCCAGACTTGAGAACGGCAACATTCCGGGAGCCCTTGTACACCAAGCTCGTCAAAAGTGTTCTTACAGCGCGGCAAGAGGTAATAGGCCACAGCCACCCAAACCTGATGGCAGGGGACGTGGCTGTGGTCTTTGACGCCGGCAAAAAAGGTCTTCGAAACAAATTGATGTCGCCCTGGAAAGAAGGAACGGCCAAAAGCAAAGAAAACAACGAAGAAGATGAAGAAGATGCAGAAGAAGACCAGGAAGATGAGGACAAGCCAACCTTCTGCGCAGACACACTGATGATTGGATACTCAGAATCCTCTCTAGCAGCCAGAAAGAAGCGAGTCCGTGGAACCTGCACCTTGAAGCAAATGGAGGGATGTCACATCTTCACATCCAAAAAACTGTCCCTTCCCAGCCGTGACAGAAAGCACTTCGCAGGTTCTACCACAGGCGACTTGATTGCCAATGTGCACATGCCCCCTTGGTCTTCTGAGTGGCACTTGCCTTGGAAAGAGAAAAAAGAACTTCTGGGGAAAAAACACCAGATCCTGGTGGGTGGGAAAACGCACGACAAGGACGATGGAGACAAGCAGAACAGCAGACCCCGCAATGGTTCAGAGCCGGTGTGCTACCACAGTCCTCCGTATGAGCTCTGTGAAGAGCTGATTCATGACTTTTTTGTGAAAATGATCATTGATCTGACACCGCTGGATGCACGAATGGCTTGGGCAGCTTTGCGCAACCGTGTGGGGTACGTAGGCATAGCTTTCAACCCTGAACACCAGCGCCTTCTCGAAGAACGTTTGCTCACGTTGCTGGAAAAGGACATGAAAGACCCTGAGTCACCTTTGTTTTCTGCAGCTTACGCTGAAGCGGTTGGAAGTGTTTCCAATCCCACCGGCCAAGGTGATGACCAAAAGCCACAAAGGGATGTAGATCCGAAAGCAAAGCCGAAGCCTAAGGGGAAACCTAAAGCAAAGCCGAAGCCTAAAGCCAAAGACAAAAAGAAGCCGAAAGCCAAAGCCCAGCAAGCCAAGGAGGAGGAGCAAGAGGAGGAGGAGGAAGAGGAAAACGCTGAGAATGTGGAGAATGAGGACGAGGAAGAGGTGTGGGATCCCTTGGCCGACGACGAGTGATGGCTGCATCGGCCATGCAGGGCTGCTTCGGCCCCAATGCTTCAGTTTTGTCAGCTTAGGTTTGGGACAAAGCAATTTTGACTGCGCCTTGCCAAATCTTGCGTTGCACAAAAAGAATGCGAAGATGGGTTGCTGACCCTGCTTTTGGTCGTTTGACAACCCCAAATCTATTCCATCTCAATCGTGCTTTTTGCACTGAAGCCTGCTAAACACAAATTGTTTTGAAGGATTGCTCTTGGACATGCTGTACTCTGTAGTGGCTCTTGCAAACTAATATTCAAAGCAGCGCAGGGCATTTAATGTGGCAAAGGCACAATCTTATTGCTGTAAACTTTAAATTGAAGTCAATGAAACTTGCCTTTCTTGGCTGAGCCACGCCTGCCTTGATTTCATTCATTGTGGTTTTGTATGGAAGCAGAAAATATTTTAAAATCTCGTGTCTCAAAAAAGGGAAATGCGACCTTCAAGGATTGATGCTATTTTCTGGATTCAAGACGTTGTGGCCGTGGGCCTCACTTTATCTCTTTGAAAGAAATATCATCAAAAGTGAAAAAGAACTTTTTTACCCTATTAATGTCTACACTCATATGCGTGCCTGGTTCTGTGGACTGTTTGAGGAGGCATGCAGTTCAGCTAAACATGATGCCTTCTTTATATGTTTATGTTATTGTATTTTCTCGTTTTCATACTTTCTCTAAGAAAGGAATTCTCGTGTGATGGCCAAAAAATGAAAAAATACTAGAATACCACTAAGTGATGGCAAGTCATGGTGCGATCCGCCCTTAAGGCTTTGGCCAACCGCCTTGTCAAGCCCAAAGTGCGTTTCTGGAGCTGCCGGAGCAGCTTGACAGCAGAGATGACCGACAGAAAGAGTTGCTGAGTGGGGAGAACGACCCCCCACTTCCAAGCACCATATGCAGCAAGCATAGTCAGTTTCATGCCATGCTGTCGCTGCGCCTGGTTCTCACGCCGACACTCCATCCGTTGATTTCGGATCTCCCATGTCTCATCTGTAATATAGGACTTACGTGGGCGGCATCCTTGCAATGGAAAATTCTGATGCAGAGTCTGCTCAACCCAATCTGCCAGCTGCACAGCATGCTCGTCAACATGTGTATCCCACGAAATGACAGGCGGACGAGCAAAGATCTCCTGCAGGTGTCCAGGGGCTGTCTTGCTCAACTGCTGTCGATCAAAGGACGTGAGCTTGTGAAAGTTTGATGCAACCTGAGCAAGAAACACTACCCCTATGGACAAAGGCGTGTGGTCAAATCCAGCTGTGCCAGCATCAAAGCCCGGATGGGGTGCCGTCTCAAGAAGAGCATCAGACCATTCACAAGGAGTCACAAAATAATCGCAACGTGCCTTTGCACCGCTGACATTACTCACCCAAGTCGCAGTCTCCCCTGAATGGATGCCTTCGAAGGTGGTGGGCAGCATCGCTGCAAAGTGTTGTAAGAAGGTCTTGAACAGATCTCCACCCAGATTGGTCTTACCTTCCAAGCCATGAGGACCCACATGAGGCAGAGAATCTGCCCCAAAATGGGCATTGGCATCGATGCCCCCAAGAAAGTGTCTGCAGTTCGACAAAACCGGATGCAAGGCACAAGTCAGCTCCTTCCAGAAGGCATCAATAGCTCCATGGGAGGAGCCACTGTGCGGCGCATGGGCTGTGAAGAGAACAATCGGAAGGCCACGATATTTAGCTTTCACCACCATAATCTCTGCAGTTGCATAAATGACTCGAATGTCCTGTTTAGCAAATACAGCTTTTCCATCAGAAGCTCGCGTCCGGAGAAGCCAAAGCTCAACACCCCCTCTCCCCTCAGCAGCAGCTGAGGTCAGTCGGTAATGTGTCTGTGATTGGACAAGCTGGCTCTCTTTTGTCCGCGTCTCTTGAAGAAAAACCACATCATACTCGCATGCATCAGCCTGTGCGCGTAGGTAGGAGACGAAGAAGGAGCCTTTGCGCTGCTGCAAACTGGACACATTGTAAGTGACAGCAGCAAGCCGAATCTTCTTAGTCCTCTGTGGGACAGCCTTCTGTGTCTTCAGGAACTTCTTCGGAAGCTGGGGGCCAGAGATCTTCATGGGCGGTACCAATAATTTTCCATCACGGCACTCGGGCAGGACCCCAGGTGGCCCAAATCCAGAGAAGAACCACCACAGCAATTCAACCGCCTTTCGTGGGCCAACCACAATGGAGGTATAATCAATCGGGGTATCGTCAAGGACATCTTGCCAGATAGCTTGCTTGGCACACACATCAGCAATTTCGTTCCCAAGACACCCAGCGTGGGCTTTAACGTGTGTCCAATCAACCTGTCCAGGCAAATAAGTCTGCAAGGCCAAGGACATGCTTCGAAGCACAACCATTGCAGTGTCCATCGGATCAAAACTGTACTGCCCTGATGCAGCACCACCCACAATTTGTGCATCATACAGGAACGAATGTGGGGCAGTGCTCGAACGTCGAAAACACCATTCGATAGCCCGGACAAGAGCAGTGACTTCACCGGCCTTAGCAGAATGATCATCACAGGCAATCCAGCCAGTGCCCATCGGATCACATTCAACTTGTCCATGTCGACCATCTACCAAATAGCGCTTTCCTTGACAGCTCCCAAGGACAACAAAAGCCCAAGCAGCTTTCGATGACTTCTGCGGCATGTAGGATCCATCGCAATACAACTCCAGCTTGTCATATTGCTTGCCACATTCCATGAGCAGACAGTCAAAATCCCCTTGGCACTCTTCTGGCAAGTGCTGTCGCAAATCATTCCATGGCATGTGCTGGGATGGCAGATCAATGAACAACGAATCGGCAAAACCTCGAAGATCAGGCAAGTCAACCACTAAACCCGAAGTGTGGTCCAAAGCCAAACCGCTGTCAGGAAGATCCTGTGGGAAATCAAGGTAGTCAGAAAGGTGAATCTTTCGCGGCTCATCGGCCTGTGGAACCATATCATAATCGACTACCACCTCCTTGCCATCAACAAAGGCGAGATCATCCATTGTCTGGAGATCTCGGGCCTTCCATTCAACTACATTGCCAGGGGGGCCGCAACCCTTCCATAACATCTCGTGCCCAAAGTGATCTGGCCAGCTCCTCTGTGACACAAGGCTGAAAATGAAAGGAAAGCTGGAGGAAGCTAACCGGTCCTGTAGCTGCGGAGCTGGCCAAAGGAGAGGAAGGTGAAGCAACCTCCATGATACATTGGGGTCGGGGCCGATGAGGCAGTAAAACGACGTAATCTCCTGGCTTCGCATGCAATGGATCGCCCCTATCCAACAAGAGTTGTGGCTTGTCCATATTCCTTGCTCTCACATCAAGGTCCGTGACACCAGATCCTTGCAAGAAAAAGATAAGCATCTCACCGACAGTGGTCCAGGGCGTGACCTGCACACTACCTCTTTGATAAGGAGGCAAATGGAGTTCGACATAAATGGGGAAAAAGTCCCGAACATCTTCAAGCTGAGCCAGAAGGATAGGGATAGCAGAACCCCGTATACCCCCATGCGGGGTAGGATACACAAAGACTGCATATAGATCACGGTCGCTTGGAATCCTCCAGGCCTCCAGAATCCGATGCGTGAACTGCTCAGAAGGCCGAAAACGCAAGGTAATGGCATTGCGAACTGGTGTACCATGTAGGACATGGATGTAAGTTCGTATCTGAAGGCTCGTCGAGAGTGGTCGACAAAAATAGCTCAAGAAAGCCTCTTTGACACAATCACCAGACATGCCTGTAGAGCAGATCCATCCGGAATGTGGCTCAGGAGGAGGGGGAACAACGCGCCGCCCAAGCTGCATCATCGCAAAAGTGTCATCTGCGGAAGCTTGATGGCCCTCAGCATCGCTCTGATCAGGGAAAGAAGCAGAACCAAATCCCCGCACCATGCCACTGCTCTCAGGAAGCGAGGGTAAGTGATCAGTGCCAGAGGGGGGGGGGCCAAATGGGACCCCGGAGAGCCTTGTGAAGATCCAAACCCCAGATCATTGCCAGTGGCCTCACAAACCGTCATGAACTCCAGGACAAAACATGTACCATGCGGCACTCTCAACCGCTCAGAGAACATCCATCTTCGCGCTTCAGGCGCTCGATCACTGAAGATACATGAATGCCGACCTCGTGTACATATTTCATAGAGCTCTAGCTTCTGGAGGACATGAGCAACTGTTTCATCTGCCTGATAGAGGAAAGCAACTCTCTTCGGCATTCCAACATACAAGATGTCGATAATGAAAACCTTGCACCCAGCCTCTTTCTGCGCTTGGCTCAGCATCACAAGATCTATAGGCATTAGCCGGAGAGAAATAGAACCTGGCTGTGGTTCGACAATGTGTAGCCACCACGGCAACCGCTCTTCCCAATCGGCCCAGTCTTCAACCAAAGACCTAGTAAAGGAGCGCCGCTGCTGGAGGGCAGTCACTCTGGCAAAGGTCACAATTTGATGGGCAACCGCCCAAACATGAATGGTGAAGACAGGTTTGTCAGCGATAGGAAAACGCTCTCCAAGGTAGTGACGCAAAACATCAAAGGAGAAGACATCCCCGGCTCGCACAAGCAGCATAGCAGGGTATGCTCCATCACCTGCTCTTCCATCACGAACAAGCCTCTCAGCTGCCTCCAGGAAGTCACTCTCATCGTAGTTCATGTCAGCAATCCAAGGGGTCTGGACCAGAGAGGCCTCGTCTCCAAGATCTGGGAGAGGGTCCGAGGCAGGTAAATTTGACGAAATCTGGAGCACCTCATGTTCTCGAAAAGGGGGGCCCCACAGATCACAATCTTCTCCCGGCCTCATATGCTTGCTAAAAAGCTGCACGAAGGCACCTTTGGGCAAACCAAGCCGCTGGTGACCGACAAAAGTCCTCTCCAAATCATCAAAACGAAAGTAAACATGTGCTTCAAAGGGCGGATCACACTGCAGAGAAAACCCGAGGATGTGACACAAAAAATTGGGAGTACACCCCGGATCACACTGCACAGCAACAATTG